CCTGTCTCCCCTCAAAATCCCCCAGCAGAGAAGCTGCACGCTCCATGTTCAGTAGGTCCAGATACTCCCTCAGCCATGAGTCCCTAGTAAAGCAGGCTGGTTTGCGTTCCTTCCAGTTTAATAGGATGAGTCTTTTTGTGGCTAATCAGCCCAATGTCCAGAGCCGATCGGTAGTCCTTGCAGGATTGCCATCTGGCTTGAGACCCAGTAGACATGCAATGGGACATGTAGGGAAATTAACTTTTAAAGATTCAGACAATAAGGATATTACTTCTGTTTACTACTTCTATTTGATTGATTGAGAACAGAGAAGTGAGCCCAGTGCATCAGGTGAGGAATAAACAACCTGTACTTTATTTGATTGTTTCTGTCTGTTGAATTGAAGCTGAAGTGGATCAAATGCTTTGGTTTTCACTAACGATACATCAAGTTTTCCTAAAATAATGTGGGGGAAATCAGTGTTAAGGGTGCTTTTTATTCTTTGCAGAAACCCTGCCAAAGTGTCTCTCCTTTGACAATTAATATATAAATAGATGCCACTGATTAGCTCCCTGAACTTACTTTTTGAAGTCTTTGCTTCATCCAAAAACATCCAACCAGGCGTCTGTCCTTCAGGGTTAATGAAAGCATGTTTTTTTTAATGAAGATCTTATTTGTTTTTGTGCATGGATGTGTCCTTTGTCAGAGGGTGGAGGGGGGAGTGTGGAGGTGGAGGTTTGTCCGTGTGGAGGTCCTCACAGCTGGCTGGTCCCCGCCATGCTGTCGCCCCCAGAGTCTCTCCTCATGTCCTGCATCCGCAGAGGGAACTTCATGGAGGCTCATCAGGTCTGTGGGGCTTTACTTTAAAATCATTTAAATACAAGTTGAAGGGGTTTGATTGTTTGCAGTGGGAGGAAACAGACGGAAGAATCAACGGTGAGCTAAGCAATGTTCTGGCTGTGTTTTAGACCACCTAAAACGTCATTTTCTGTACCCTTTAAATTTGAATATCGTTGCATAAAGACACCAGACTCCATTGACAAAAACAGTCATTTTACTCCCAATACACAGGGGTTGCTGGTCGAAGCAGCATTCATTGGTTAGTTTGTGTTGTTGTGTTGTTGTGTAACCCTTTTAAAGTAGCACAACAACACACACACATTAAACAATAAGGCGGCTGTAGACGGGCAACTCCCTGTGCTGCTGTGATGTAGAATTAATGTTTTTCTCAATGGAGTCTGTTGGCTTTGAAGAGAGCATAGATATATTTATAGAGGGATGGATGGATAGTTTATTATTGCCACACACCAGTGCTGTTTTGCAAAGCATGGTAGCTCTGTTTTAATATAAAAAAACAAAGAAATGGTCTCCTTAATCATTAAACACAGAGGCATTAAAGGGGACCTATCATGCAAAATGCACTTTTTGATGTCTTGTATACATAAAGATGTCTTTATTTCTAATTGTATGCTTAACTGTAACTATTTTTTTCCTCCCCAGGACTACGAGTACGCCTTGGGCCGTCGATGACCAGATTTGATTTATGGACGGCACTTACTTTGCGGTATAGTACTATAGTTCCTAAGAGGAAGACTTTGTCATACCTCGAAGTTTCCGAAAGAGAGAACGGCCAAATATGGTGTTCCACTCCAAGGATAAAATGAAGGACCGGAAGAAGGTGTGTGTACGAGAGGTCCTGTCCAATGCGAGACCACAATCGGTACGATTACGTTTGTTGGCTGGTTATAATGCAGGTTTTGTCAGACCGTAACAAAGGTCCACTTATCGTTGCAAAGACTTCCCGGCACCCAGGTGTAAAGTCCTATAATGCAGTATTAGCCGCTGCGTTTTCACCCTAGCGGGCCAACAAGGGGCAAAAATCTCTAAACCCATGCCTCCTTTACTCTCTCCAAAATAAAAAGACTGCGACGCACTCAAGGGGTCTTGTC